ATTAAAAAAAAATAATTGACTAGCTAGTTTTTTATTTATTTATAACAATTATATTTTGAAATAAATTCAATTCACCAACATGACTAATACTTTGGTACCGACATATAATATACGGAGTAATATAATATTTTCGATACTTACTGTTATATATGTGAACACATTATAAACATGTATTTTATATTAACTTTAAAAAAATGATGCTTAATTGATGTGATTTTTAATTTGACAGGGTATTATATGTCTCCCAATATTTAATTCTGACTTCATATTATAATTTTATACCTAATACACGGTTGACGTGTATGTCGTTCCTATGATTTGAAGAAATTTAAAATAAGAAACGAAAAACTTTTATTTCTACAAATGATTGCACAACATCAGAAAGATTAACATGATATATTTATATAAGTTTTTCTTTTGGACCAAAAAGAAAATCGACAGTCTATTGCATTTTGCACCCTTAAGGTATGTCTTTTGTTATAATTCACACCTTATCCTATTTTTAAAATGACTCCACCCTAACCGCTTTAGTTTTAAGAGTCCATTTGGATTAACTTCAAAAAAATAGCTTTTAAGTGAAAAAAAAATTAAACTTAAATGACTTTTAAGTCAAAAAATAAAAAGTAGGGGAGACCTACTTTTAATCAAAATCGATGAAGAATATTTTACAGATGTTTTCTTGCATCACCATGATCAGAAGTTTGTTCTCATTCGAAATATTTGTTGTATATACGCTTCCCAAGTATGGAGATCATTTTTTATTTTAATGCTTGTACAGTGAAAATTGTGATCAGCAATGGAAGAACAATATCCCCAAACGTTTGTTTTTAAGCTTAATTCTGTTGTAAACTTAAGAACAAAAAACAATATAAAGATGAAGACAAGAAGAAGAATATAAGATAAGAGAAAGAATATCACTATTTATAGTATTACATTGATGAATACTAAAGGGTGACATAAACATGACATTAAACCTTGAGAATACGGAAATTACTATCCATAAATGAGGAAATAAACGTAGGGGTTCTGGCCATCCATGACCACATTATCAACAATATTACTACCCATAAAAGAGAAAATTAACTTAGAAGTTATGATCATCCATTTAACCACATTATCTACAAAATTACTACCCATAAAGGAGGGAATTAACTTAGGAGCTATGGTCATCCATTTAACCATCAAATTATATACAACAATACTCTACTTTTGATGACCTTTGATAGATAATATGCCTCGTTAAAACCTTACTAGGAAAAATCCTATGGGAAAAAAATCTAGTTAAGACAAAAGAGTATACATATCTTGTAATACGTGTTGTTTGTTGCTTCGTCAAAAACTTTGTCAGGAGAAACCATTGAAATAAAACCTAGGCCAAGAAAAGACTGTAACACGTAGTTTATAACTCCCCCTGATGCAAACATCATTTAATTTCTTGGAGACGATGAATTTCAATCTTGAATACCAGCTTTTGAAATGATGAGGTTGGTAATGCTTTAGTGAGCAGATCTGCTAAATTATCAAATGGGAGAATTTGTTGAACATCTATTTCACCTTTCTTCTCAAGATCATGAGTGAAAACAAGTTTGATTGCATTTTCTCCAACTTCGTACATTTCAAGTACTGACTGCATACTTTTGATGATATAGATTTTGTCGATCATCATAAGGCCCATGATTAGTTCTATCTCAAATCAGTTAGCAACATCATTGGTGAATCCTCATCTCCTCGAGGACAACCCTTATCTTTCTTTTAATATTTGATTTTCAGTTTCAGATATGTTAAAGTTAGTTAGGTATTTGTCCTAGCAACTCATATTAGTAAAGACTTTCAAACAGTCAGTTAGTTGAGTCCTCCATGTTATGTTGTCTTCCATTTTTTATCGAATCTCAATATTTTGGGCTCCATCCAGATATTTCAGTTTTAGCTTCCGCATGTGTATTTCAGTTTTATGTTGATTTTTCCAATCTTAGCATTATGTCGTGAGGTTATCTTCAAGTCACTTATGACTCTAAGTACCGTGTCACGTCTAGTGATTGTCTCAGGGCATAAAAAACTTGGTATTAGAGTATCATGTTCAAGTGTCTGAAAGCTGCGTTAAGTAAAATCTTGTTCATGGGTGTGAAGCGCGCCACAACTATGAATGAAAAACTATGAAACATTTTAAGAAATACTTTACTTTTTTCATACTCTTAGTCGTGTGATAGAGCATAGGTCCATAAAATTTCCTTATAACTCATCCCTTACATGCTTTCAAAATCATACCTCCTACTAGAAAGAATCAAAATGAGCAGCAACAAGCACCTCTGGCTCTAGTTGACTCTTTGGCTGAACACATTACTCATGCTAAGTTTGAAGATGCTTTTCAAGTGCTATCTCAAGCTATGACTACTCAGGTCAATCGAGAGGTTGTGATTCTTGTGATCTCAAATGTGGCTATAACTACTATTAAAGTTTAGGACTTCACTCGGATGAACCCTCCAAAATTTCATTGTTCAAAGGTGGATGAGGATCCACAAGAGTTTATTGAGATTATGAGTGTCACTCCGATCGAGAGTGCAAATTTAGTAACTTATCAGTTGAAGGGAGTTGCCTAGATTTGGTACAGGCAATGGAAAGAGGAAATGACTGTTGATGCAGGCTACCTAAATTAAGAAAAGTTGAAGGGTACTTTTCTAGACACAATATTTCTACTTGAGATGAGAGAGACTAAGGTTTAAGAGTTCATAAATTTGAGGTAGGGTAACACAACAGTTCAGGAGTATTCTTTGAAGTTTACTCAACTCTCTAGGTATTCTCTGACTATGGTGACCGACTCTAAGGCCCTCATGAATACATTTGTCTCTAGGAAAGAGTGTATGACTGCGATGTTGATCAAGGAGATAGAAATCTCCCGTTTGATGACTCGTGTCCAAAAAATTAAAGAAGGAAAATCTCAAGGAGAGTGATAAGGATAACTAATGGGCTCGAACAAATAGTGTTGACTCGTGTCCAGGATGTGCTATTTTTTCTTAGTTCCATCAGAAATATTCAGGCTCGGTCTTATCTTCTACTAGTGCTCCAATGCCTAATTTAACAAGGATAGAATGCCAAGCTCTAAGGTAGTGTTTCTAGTGGACATTGTTTCCCCACTTGTCATAAGTGTGGTAAGAACTATTTGAAGATTGTATGGTCGGTACTATACTAGATGTTTCAGATGTGGTAAGTCGTCATAAATTAAGGAATTGTCCATTTGCAGTTGGCAAGGGTAGAAATGTTCGCCAGTAAGCTCAGCCTAACACTCTAGCAGGTCGCCTGACCCAGCACGGTACCTCATCTAGCATTGATGGCGGACAACACCAGAATAAGTTTTATGCTCTTTAGACTTGACAGGATCAAGAAGGTTCCCCTCATGTAGTCACTGGTATATTACAAGTCTTTTTGTTTGATGTTTATACCTTGTTAGATCTAGGAGACACTTTTCTTCGTGACTCGTTATGTTGCAATGAAATTTGATGTCACTCTCAAAGTCCTATCAAAACCCTTCTCAGTCTCTACTTTTGTCGGTGATTCAGTTGTAGCTAAACAAGTATACACAAATTGCCCAGTTTGCATCTTTTAGAAAATCACCTCCACTAATCTAGTAGAGTTAGACATGATTGATTTTGATATCTTCTCGACATGGATTGACTACACACTTATTGTGTCTCAGTTGACTGCAGTACCAGAGTCCTTAAGTTTCAATTTCTGAATGAACCAGTCGTCGAATGAAACGGTAGTACTTCAATGCCTATAGATCGGTATGTATGTATGTATGTATGTATATCATCTCGTTTGAGTTAAGGATACTAGTTTCAAAAGCCCAACTCTCTAATCAGTCGCCATAATTAACTTAAGGAGTCGCAATTTAAAGATGAATTAGGACACCTAAATATTTTACTAAGTTATGCTTAAATTAACTCCAATGAGTGATCTACTTAGCTTATGTAATTCTAGGTAAGAGTTCTAGTTTTCCTAAAGGGAAGGAGATAATCATCCTTTAAGATCCACCAAAAATAATTACCGGCCAGATTTAGGTTAATTAAAAGAATTTTGTTTGAAAATATTCATTAACTAAATATTGAAAAGTAACAAGTTAATATATATATATATATGATCAAATCTCCAAACTTTTGAATAAAGGGGAAATTTTTTGTTTAAGCCTCTCTAAACATGTATAAAAGTAATTAAACTTGATTGTAAGAAGAGGTAACTCTTTAATAAATTCGTGCATTACATATATACTATTTGAGATTAAAAGAAATATTCAAATATTTTTTTTAATTGTTAAATGCCTAAAGACTTCCTTGGCAAAATAACATTAATTTAGAGCCAGCACCATTTGAAATGAATATTTTGAAAAACATTTACTGCAAAGATGACTTCTTTAAAGAAAATACAATATGTAATTATATATTTGTTCTAGATAAGAAATGATTTATAAATAAATTTTTCTAACTAGTTGGATATAAAATAAAATAAATTAAAAGTTTCATACCCCAAAAATACCCAAAATAGGCTCAAGTCTCAAATAAGAAATCTCATTTTATCTAAAAATCAAACTGATGGGATTATGAAAGTATTTTCCTTAGTTTAAAAACATGAGACAAATTTTACAGAATTTCTCTCTCTCTCTCTATATATATATATTCTCTTACTATTCAAAATCACTCTTCGTTTCTATTTGTTTGTTTATTTTTCTTATTAGTCCGTTCGAAAATGAGTTTTTCTTTTATTTTTTGACAATTTTCAAATTTTAACTTTTCACATGACATTTTTAAGATCACAAAATTAAAATGCATTTTGATACATTCTACATATCATTTAAGATTACAAGATTCATAAATTTTCTTTACTTATTTAAATTGTGTCAAGTTAAAAATAAACAAACTGAAACTAAAAGAGTAATAACTAAGCAAGTAGATTAAAACGGAGGAAACACTTCTAAATAATAAAGTAAATCATAACAAAGGATGTTTGAAATAAGAAATATGATGTTTGTATTTAAACACGAAGAGTTTTACCTAGAAATACAGCTTAGATTATTTTAAATTGACAACAAATTGAAAGTGCAAAATCCAAACTTGAATAAAGAAGTTCAACACTTCTCTACCTATGAAACTTAAATGACTAAATGAAAAAATAATACCAAGAACATTCAGAATGTTCCACAATATTCTTGGAGAATTTATTCAATAACATAATTTGCACTACTAAGATATAGTGTCTAGCACCAACACAATATTCCTCATTTGTTCAAATCCATCACCACTTTATTCTTACTATCAACCTCAAACTTGCTTGCAATTTTAACTGGTAAGAATAAAAATTAAATATAATTAAGAACCATACAACAATATTCTTTAATTTGGTTTATAATTATATTTAAAATTGTTAACTTACGAAAGTCTGAATTCTCCTTAAGCATACGCAAGTAAGGGTCCACTGATAGACCTTTGGCAGCAAAGCTTGGATGGTACAATCAGTTGTTAATAGGATTAGGACTACATTTGAAATCAATAATTATTATTAGTATTTGCACAAATGCATTATTGTAGTGTCTTACAAATTGAATTCACGATTATTTTCTTTTGTAATTCATTTTATTTCACAAGTTGTCAAATAATTACTAAAAATACATATTTATGTAAGGTTCAAATATATTTTTGGAAAATTTGTTTTAAAAAATAAATAAATCGGTTTTAAATCTTAAGAAATATTTTCAATTTTTTTTATCATAAATAAGAATATTACCTGGTCAGCCATGGATGCTCCCTCTTTCCATGTCCATTTTCTTGCTCAACAACTCCTCTCTATAGTAATATCATTTAAATTAAAAATAATATACAATTGTATCAGTTTAGAAACACTATATACAAATCTATTGAAAATTAATTTTATTTAAATATAAGCCCATTTAAAATACAAAAAATAAATTAGGGATAAAATATACACTTACATTAGAACAAGAATGCATTATTGGCATTCTACCATATGGATAGCGAGCCTGCATTTATTTACGTAGTAATAACAACAACAACAACAACAACAACAACAACAATAATAATAATAATAATAATAATAATAATAATAATAATAATAATAATAATAATAATAATAATAATAATAATAATAATAATAATAATAATAATAATAATAATAATAATAATAATAATAATAATAATAATAATAATAATAATAATAATAATAATAATAATAATAATAATAATAATAATAATAATAATAATAATAATAATAATAATAATAATAATAATAATAATAATAATAATAATAATAATAATAATAATAATAATAATAATAATAATAATAATAATAATAATAATAATAATAATAATAATAATAATAATAATAATAATAATAATAATAATAATAATAATAATAATAATAATAATAATAATAATAATAATAATAATAATAATAATAATAATAATAATAATAATAATAATAATAATAATAATAATAATAATAATAATAATAATAATAATAATAATAATAATAATAATAATAATAATAATAATAATAATAATAATAATAATAATAATAATAATAATAATAATAATAATAATAATAATAATAATAATAATAATAATAATAATAATAATAATAATAATAATAATAATAATAATAATAATAATAATAATAATAATAATAATAATAATAATAATAATAATAATAATAATAATAATAATAATAATAATAATAATAATAATAATAATAATAATAATAATAATAATAATAATAATAATAATAATAATAATAATAATAATAATAATAATAATAATAATAATAATAATAATAATAATAATAATAATAATAATAATAATAATAATAATAATAATAATAATAATAATAATAATAATAATAATAATAATAATAATAATAATAATAATAATAATAATAATAATAATAATAATAATAATAATAATAATAATAATAATAATAATAATAATAATAATAATAATAATTTATCATCACATACCCTTGGTTTATGACTTTTTGAACTTTTTGGCACTTGAGGATCAAAACCCTTAGTGACGTTCACATTCTTTTTCTATATATATAAAATAAATGATGGTTAAGTAAAAATTATAAAATAAAACATTAAAAAAGGTTCAAAGAAATATACCTTTGAAAGTTCAATACGCTCATACCTAAGAAAAAAATAATATTTAATTAGATTGTAAATAGATAAATTCAAGTAAAAATAGAAAGATAATTTAATTAATAACAATCTCATATTATTTGAGTGATATGTACAGTACTAAAACAAAAAAAGAGGGAGGTGTAGTTAAAAAGAAAAGGTGCTAATTTCAAGCCTTGCAAGTTCATTTAGCATCCTTGTACATGGTGTCAATCACATCCTTGTAGTATTTAAACAATTGTGTTCTTTTCTTGTTAAATGTTAGTGTCACGTTCCATGTTAAATGGAACTGGATAAAGGTGTAGAGCCTTTATGAACTTAAATCCCTTTCAACTTCTTTTCTTTTCCAGCTTTAGTAAGCTCCCCTAGTATGTGCTCTTTCACCTTTTAATTGGAATTAAAATCCCCAGAAAGACCATTCTGTTTGGCCCATTTTTCAACCTGTTGTTTACTTGGATTAACAACCGCAGACTCAAAGTTGCTCCCATATATCCATACCGAATCAATAACAGGAATACATTCTCCAAATTTTTGACTGCAACATATTCTCCTTGCTATAGCTTCAAAATATTCTTCCTGCGATCAATTATCTTCAAGCTACCATTTGGTTGCCTCTCACCAATATCCTCTGTATGGAACCAACCATCCATTAATCGTGACTTCTTTCACGCTTGTAGTAACAAAACAGAGTGTCTCCCCTCACGCATAGGTGTGCTTGAAACAGCATCATATTCCATTTCAGGAACAGCGCAGCTACACCAAGCACACATTCATATTGGGCACCGGAGGACCAACCGTACCGAGTATATGAAACTGGTTGGGTAGCGACACAAATGTACCAACACATGTTTCAGTATGACCATATCCTTGAAGAATATGAGTACATGCTACAACTCGCATAAATGCTTCTACATGAGATGAAAGGGTGTTTGCTCCAGATAATATAAGGCATACTTTGCCTCCTAGTAGGAGTCCATCTCTTACCTTACTGAAAATAATACAGCTCATTCTGCCCTATGCCTTACTCAAGCAAAGTTGTATGCAACCGCATAGACCCTCTATTTTCATCTTTAAAGATTCGAAAATATATAGCTATGCCCAAAGCCTTGCAAGAATGTCACAGTTGAGTTTAAAGATTTCAAGGATTACGTAATGCAATTAAAATGTATTCTAAATTTACTGAAATAGACTACAAAAATAATTCTACTTGCATCCAATTTGATGGTCCTAAAACAATCACTCATTATACCTCCATTAAAAAAATTTACATTCAGATGGAAAAGCTTGACATTATAGGGACTTTAAAATAGAGTTTAGTCTTATCTCATGATATTATATAAGCATATAGTCTACTTTATCCATTATATAATGTGTTGTAACCTAAGATCACATCTTAAGGGTCATCGTTCATCTTATACTTATATGATCATCCTTTCAATTCCATTGTTTTCATTATTAGGAGCATGATAACAATAATGATGTTAAGTTATTGCTTCCAACTATCCTATGAAAAATCCTAAATAATATTCAATTCAGATAAATATCCGATTTACTGCAAGAACTTAATTTAGAGGTGATGTGTTCTCTAAGTTTTGTGTTCCGATATTACAATCGCAACTTTTATCCAATCCAAGTACAACTGCTCAATACAAACACTTCGCCAAAATCAGTCACTGTTCCTTATCAATACATAAACTTGAGAATTGAATTTTTTTCAACAAAAATCAACCTAAATTTGAAGGTTCTGAAAGAATGTGGAATTATACTTGAAGGCTTGGAAATTGGAGAATGTGAAATCAATCCTTCGGTATAATTTGGCCTGGTTGTTATTCTGATTTTGCAACTTCAACGTGTTTTCTTGTCACTTTTCTTCAAATTACTAAATTAATGGTTGCATTTTCTTGAAATGTGATACAAACAACAGAAAGATGACAGTGAAAACTTACCTGAAATTTCAACTTTAATGTCATGGAAACATTAAACAATTCACAACTTCTTCCTCAATAAATCACCTGGAAGTTGAAAAATCTCAGAGGAAAAATAAATCAACTCAAAGCAGAAGTCTCAAACATATAAAGATTTATCTTCCCTTTTTTCTGTTGAAAATTACTAATTGAAAAAGATATCACACATAATACATTTTAAAACTTTTTCCCCTTTCTTTTTATAGTTGATGACAAAGGAACTTGGAGTTCCATTAATTTGAATGTCCGAACAATTCATTGTTGGTCATAATATCTTATGTGAATCTTCGGGATATGATAGATAATATTATCAAAATGGAGCATCATAAGCCGCTAAATTATATACATAAAGGACCCGAAAAATCTACTCGTAGATGCATCAAGTAGCAATATATAGTTTTCTCAGCTCCCCAAATTTATTTTTCAGTAACATCAGTTGATTATCAACTACTTCCTATGTGAACTACGATGTAACTTTCTTAAAAGAAAACAAAGAAAGATGGCAACATCTTTTTAGAGAAGTGTCAAGTGCAACCATGAACTCATTTCAACATTGATTTTCGATGAAGCTACTTCACTCTCTAGAAAAGTGTAGATTCCTCTTAATCTCAAGTAATTTCACGATCCCCTTGCTCTTTAATCTCAATCTTGTGAGAAAACAAAAGAGATTCAAAGATTATTTTCAGAAAACAATGGTACCTTGTTGAATGTCAAAATTTTATCTGGACGTACCAAAATAGTTTCCTCGAAATGTATCTTAATGCTGAGACTTTTTCCTCTGAAGCAGAACAACTCTTGGGCACACAAGTATAGGAATTTCGACAAACACGTTGATGGCATCAGGTATCTGTAAAAAGTCATCACATTAGCAACAAGGTGTTACAATATACAAATTAAAACAGACAGATGTAGTGTTGAAAAAGCGTGGGAGACATTTCAAGCCTGAAGCGACACTCTTTCAGTGTGAATCACAAAGTTTCAAGTGAGAATAGCAGAGAAGCAACATGTTCTTGACGTGTTTAATGGCCAATAAGATAAAAGCCCAGACAACACATCAAAATAGATAACAACCTAAATACAATGTACAATTAATCACTCATTTTAATAATTAAAATAACAATTAATTAAACCAACTATTGACAGGTGTCAAATGAAAATTTGAAACAAACACGTGTCCTATTCATAATTAATCACTCATTTTAGTTTGCTACTTTTTCATATATATATATCACAATTAATAAAATACTTTTTTTTATTTAAAAACAATTTTAAAGAAGTTTTCACATAATAATAAATTATTATTATTATCATTATTGTTTTAATAAAAGCACAACCTATAATCTATATGTTCTATCTTTACCGATAAAAAAATCGAACTACTAATAATAATAATAATAAATTTAAAAACATCCAACTAAATAGTGCGCTTTAATTTTTATTTTGAAAAAAAAAGTAATTATCCAAACTAAATAGGGTGTTTTAAGTCTAAACAAATTTGTAAAACTAAAATTATTTAAATGTCAACACCTTTACAATCTATATCTATATCTATATATAATATAAAGTCAAATGTAGAAAAGGTGATGTGGCACCTCTCTAAGGCCTCCATTGCTATTTTTCTTTTTCTTTTTTTTATATATATTTTATCTTATTTTTAAATCAAAATATTAACCATATTCCATCTTATTTATGAAGTTCCATTAATTTTTTTAATGACCATATTACTTTATTGTCTATAATAAGCTATTACATTAATTGTTAATTATTCTATATATTATTGAAGAATTGCAAAAGGTCACCATGTCTTCTCCTTGCTTAATTTCTAACCATTACTCCTTTATACGTTTTCAACTCATCCTCGCTTTTTTTCTCACTAGATTTTGTGTCTTTTTCCTTATTTTCTTGCCTAAATATTTTGTAGAAATTAAAGATAATTTTATTTATTTTGTTCACCATTTAACACCATTAATCACTTTTTCCTAAAACCTTTCTCTATTCCTTCTTAAAAGTATTACTAAATTACAATTAAGACACTAATTACCAATATAAGTTACAATTGTGTTGATTACTACATTACTCTTTTAATTTATATTATTCAATAGTTAAAAGTTTATTGATTACTACAAATACTAGAGCATGTCATCTTCACCAATGTAAGAATTTCTTCTTCTCTTTTCCTTTCTTCATTATATTTATACTAAAGTACATCACTTTGGTTATGTTTAATTTTATAATATATAGAATTATAAATTATTTGTGACTAACTTCTATTGTTTATAAGATGAGCATATGACAATTTTGGGAATACAAAATTCAATCTTGACGAGTACAATATCTAATTTATGTTACCAAATTGCATCACTTTGATTGTGTCTAATTTTATAATATATAGATTATTTATGACTAATTTCTATTGTTTACCAGAAGATAAGATGAGTATATGACAATTTTGGTAATTCAAATCCAAATTCAAATTCAATCTTGGTGAGTACAATATTTCACTCATGTTACTCTTTTCATTTCAGCTTGTTTGATCTCTTTTATTTACCGTATTCCTTTTTTTTTTTTTTTTTTGTTTTGTTGCTTTTTTCCTCATTATTGGTGATTTTACTGTACTTATTATTCTATGCATATATATTTTTTGTAAATAATCTTTATTGTTTATAGTGAAAGATAAGATGAACATATAACAGTATTTGGGGATTTAAGTTTAAGTTTGATGAACCCACTAGGAAAAGGAACCCCTACATTATTGTTTTTGTCCATTAATCTTATATTAGAGGCTAGGATAATTTTCTTAAGTATTCCTACAAAGATTCTTTTATTTATTTGTTTTATTTTAATTTATTCTAATTTTCTTTGGTACTCCAACAAAGATTCATTTATTTATTTATTTAAATTTAATTTATTCGTACACTAAATAATATTTTTGAAATTTCAGGTAAATTATTTTTAACTTTGAAGGCTTGAATCGTTTTGTTCATTATCCTTCAAGATTTTTTTTATTGTTTCAATATATATATTTTTTTCTTCACAAAAGTTAATTCTTTTGTTCTAATGAAAAAATTGTGAATAATGAAATCAATTTTGAGAATTAGGATTTGTTTATGTTTACTTTTTAGAATAATTTAGAAATATTAACTAAAATATAGATAAATTTAAAGGAGTATTTTTAGTTAATACATATAAATAGTTTGAGTTTAATTTATTTGAATACTTTATATTCTTTGCGTAATTGAGATTATGTATCTTTCGATCTATTCATTTTTATATAAATAATAGGTAGTATATTATAATTGTAGTAAAAATTAGTCAAGATAGAAAATGATTTACAAATATTTCATAAGCTAAAATTAGTGAAAGATGAAAAAAAATCTAATTATTACTAAACAAAAGAACAATAACTTTCGAATATATATAGTTGATATCATAAAAATAAAAATCTTTGTTTAAAGGAACAAAAAATAGAAATTAAAAAAAAAAACATCATTTTCCGTACAAAAACATTTATTAAATATATTTAAATTAAGCTTATGTATATTTCAGAATAAAAAAATTATGTGTAGACAAGCATATCCATAAAGAGTTCAACTTATTAAATTAAACTTAGGAAAAAAGGTCTGAAATATATTCGAACTTTGATCAAAATTGTTGTAACAATACCGAACTTTGGAAAGGACCTTTTACCCCCTGCACTATTTAATAATGTATTTTAAAGGTATATATATGTCCACGTGGACATCATAAATATTGCAATATTATAAATAGTAACGTGTCCACGTGGGCACATATATACCTTTAAAATACATTATTAAATAGTGCAGGGGGTAAAAGGTCCTTTCCAAAGTTCGGTATTGTTACAACAATTTTGATCAAAGTTCGAATATATTTCAGACCTTTTTTCCTAAGTTTAATTTAATAAGTTGAACTCTTTATGGATATGTTTGTCTACACATAATTTTTTTATTCTGAAATATACATAAGCTTAATTTAAATATATTTAATAAATGTTTTTGTACGGAAAATGATGTTTTTTTTTTTAATTTCTATTTTTTGTTCCTTTAAACAAAGATTTTTATTTTTATGATATCAACTATATATATTCGAAAGTTAAATTAAACACTACAAAGAATCTTTAGAATATTTGTAGTACTCAACTATTCTAAAAATTAGTTATTTGGCGAATTTAATTAACGAGCTATTTATGATCACGCGAAGCACGGCTAAGTTCACTAGTTGTAATATATCGCCAAATGTCAACACCAAAATAATTATCTATCTAATTTTCATTTTAAAAAAAAAATAGTTTTAAAAATATTATATTTCTGGATTTTCACAATAACCGTGCCAAAAAGAACTACTTCGACAGCACAACCACAAAAACCGTATAAATAGGAACCACAAACACACGTTAAAAATACTCTTATCAGCGTATCATTAATCCAAATTATTTGGAAAAAGTAACAATTTTTCTATATATTTTTATCCTAATAAATTTATGTCATAGAAAGTTATCTGCATTTTAATTTGAGTTAAAAAATAATTTTTTTAATATTTAAATGGTTTTATGGAATTTTTTTTGAAAGATGAACACTTAAAATTTCAATTGATATTTGCAGTTTTGGAGACGTTACAACTTCCCTCATTATTGTATGAATTTTCAAATTTAAAATTTCCTTTTAAATTCAAGGGAACTACAATTTTTTAATTTTATCATGAACTCAACGAAATCTTTTTTCTTTTTAGTTAATTAACTACATCAATGTTCGTGCAACTTTCAACATGAAATAGAGGTGACTAGCAGAGGTGAATGTTATTAAGAAGGCTTCTTGGAACTTCTCAAAACGCAAAATGAATGTAACCAAGGTAATTCTACAGACATAGAGTGTTTAATTGTAAATGTATCTTTATAGTTTTTCCTCCCATATTGTTCCAATTAATTATACGGCATTGCCTCTTTCTTTCAAGTTTACTTTGACGTTTAGATATTTTTTTCTATCTGAAATTCAAGATTTCTATTGAAGGCCAATTTGACATGAATGAGATGAACAAAAAAAAGATTGTTTGTCACAGGACATGTTTCCATTCAAACTGTGTATATGTGAGTGCTTCTAATTACTTTTTTTATATTTGGTTGAGTCATGTTATCAAGAAGTAAATCAAGAATATGTGGGGTCTATTTTAAATTTAAAACAAGGTCTAAAGATGAAACTAATTCAAAATAGTATATTGTTATATTAATGGGAATGAAATATTATACAACAATGGTCAATCTTATGTAGAATACAACTGTGCATGATAAACTTGCCAGTTAATTGTTTGAATTTTACTTTTTCATAATAATTTTACTTTCCAATTAATTGTTTGATAATTTCATAATAAATATCGTGTTTGTTTTTAATTTTATTTATCTGTTTCATGTTTGAATCCTCTTTTATTTATCTTTATTTTATTTTTTCAACAAATTGTAGTCATAGGACCAGAGACAACAACTTTTTTTTTAAAAATAAATTATTAAAATACTACAGATCTGTATTTTATAATTAAAAAAATTGAAAATAGAAACATGTCATAATTTTAAAACTTTCGGTTTGAATAAATTTTAACAAAGACAATTAAAATAATTACAGATAAAAAAATCGCTTATAAATATTTTTTTGGTTGCTGACATTTAAAAAAAAAGTAATATTGGAAAAAGAAAAATAGTAAATCCTTGCTTTAAAGGTTTTTTAAAAAGAATTATTTTTTACTATTTTACAAATTGGATTCTTTTAAACTATTAAAATCTAATTTTCTTTTTGGACGCAGAACTTTTTCAAAAAAAAAAAATATTATAAAAAACAAAAAGCATCACTATTTGATTAGAAAATAAATTAAAGAATTTCATGATGCAAAATAAAATAAAAATAAAACAATTAACGAAAAGAGAAGAAAAAGAAAATATTTATAAAGGAACAGTTAAACAATAAAATTTAAATTTGTGGTGTAGTTTTTATTTCTTTAGAACCGTAACATATTGAGAAGATTTTCAAAAATGGATGA